CTTGAGAGCACTTGGCTTCTCCAGCTGCCCTTGGCTTGGACTTTGACAAGGGGCCCCTTCCAGTGTCCATTTGTGTCAGTCAGTATTCTTGGTTGCAAGAGATAGAAACTCAGTGTTTCAAGCAAAGAAGGATTGGCTCATGTAACTCAAAGTATAAGTGATTTCAGCCATAGTTGCATCCAGGCACTCAGCTGAGCAGGAATCTGACTTCAGGACTGGGCTCTGCATTTTTACACCGGCACCCCTAGGCTTACCTCTTACCAATTTATCAACCCTAGTGGAGAAAAAATTATTTTTCAGTAGTTCCAGCAAAAGCTCTAGAGCTGATTCTTAATCACCCAGCTCTTGAGCTATTCTGGAGCCAGTCCCCATGATTCTGATATACCAGAGATGGGTCATACTCTCCATAGTGGAGCCAGGAGTTGGGGTCAGCCCCATCCAAATTATATGGGCTGAAAATGGGGAGGGGACTATTTCAAAGGAAGTTCTGTTATAAGAAGAAAGAGGATTGGTTGCAGAACAGATCAAAGTGGTAGAGGTGTATTACACAAGCTCAGGGCCTTGCCCATAATAGGTGCTCAATAAACATTCTGGCGTTTAACTCACCACTGCCCCTCCCTGTCTACTCTGATAGCTTCTGTTTCTTGCTCCATCCTCATGCCAAGCGAGACATTGCCTGCTGATCCCAGACCCCCTACTCTGAAGTGTGTTTACTTTACAGACAGATGGTATGAAACTGCATTGAGCCCCCAGGCCCTTCCCATCTGACAGTTATTAATATTTCAAACAGATGTTTAGCTAGGCAGGCTGTCACACGTAAACAATAAGTCTGCCATGGCTGTTTTCTTCCCCCTGCTTCTCCAGCTCCTAACTGTTGGCTTTCACAAGGTACTCCCTGCAGTCACCTGGCACTTGAGACCCCATGGACCCTCCTGTAGCCATAGGGGCTGGGACTTCTGAAGCCAAAGAAAGTGTTTTCAGCTCCCCAGCCACCTTTGAATGTCAAAGTGAAGGGCATAGGAGGAGGAAGCCCCACCCCCACAGGCCTGGGACCATGTGGCAAAGGGTTCAGGCGTCAGGTCCAGGTTTGGCGGGGTGGGTGTCTAGGTAATTTCTTCCTGGTGTTCTTGCTGGGGATGGAGTGTTTCACTTTGCAGTCCCGAGTTTTTGTGGCCCTGGGAAGGGTTGTGAGAGCCTGTGGAGCAGGAATAAGGTGTGTAGGAAGGCATACCTCTTGGCTGGTGGCCAACTGCTGGTGCCAAGGACGATGTGTCAGGCCCAATCCCATCTCGGGTTAGTACTGGAGCCTAAGTCCTCAAAACTGTTTCCTTAAGCACTGGGGCAGTTCTGGGCCTGTGTGGACCCCCTGCCCGGTGCCCATGACCCCTTCTGTAGTTCTCTCCCAGGCGTCCTTGAGGTGGTTAGCAGATGAGTTCAGCCTCCTCTGTGGTCGCTTGAGAGTCTCTGTCCAGGGCCAGTTCATCTGCTCAGCTTCTAGTTCCTGCATCTGTCCAAGCCTTGCCCCCACCTCCTTTTCAACCCCCTAGCCTAGAGTTAATGGAATTGTGTAGATACAAGGGTGCCATTACACCCAATGTTAAGCTCCAGCAGCAGGGTCGTGCACCTAAAGTTACTCAGGACCTAAAGTGAAACTGCATAGGTCCTGGTCTTCCTATCTTTGCTGTGTTGCTCTAGCCATGTCACCTCTAAGAGCTCTTACTTCCTATCTGGAAAATGGGCACGAGACCACCCCCCACCCAAGGCTGCTGTCAAGATATGTGAGCAATGGATGTGACCCCTACCCATCATCATCTTCCAGTCTCCCCCAGGTGCTCCCAGAGCTCCTAGCAGGTAGTAAATTTCACAGCCACACGACACACAGCCACCCTGCCGTTCTCTACTCAGACCCAGGTCAGCTCAATTTCTTCACCTTCTTTGCTTCAGGAGGAGCTGAAGTTATAGCTGCCTGCTCAGGGACTGTGAAATTCCTTCTCCCTGACCTTTTCTGGGATGTTATTAAAATGTTTCATGGGCACTTGTGTCAGAAAAAAATTATGAAGAAAAAGAAAATGTTTTAATTTTCACCGAAGGCTGGGGCAGAGCCTGCTGCAAGGGGCCTCCCTAACCCCCACCCTGGCACGGCCTGTTTCTATGGCTCATCGTCTGTTCTGGGAGAAGGCAGCAGTTTCATAGTAGGGCAGGGAAGGCAGAACAGGAAGATGGCTGGCACCTCCAGCCTGGGAGTCCCAGCAGGGGTGGAAGGGCTGGACCTTCTCGCCTCCCTGCTTCCTGGATCTCCCCCAGCCCAGGTTTTGAGGCCCTTATAGTCCACAGTCATAACAAAATGAGTTTCCAGTGGTGGAAGAGAAAGAGGGGGGTCTAGATTTCAAAGACGACTTTGAATGCCGATTCAGATGACTGGAGCAGAGGCCGCTTCCCTTCTCAAGACCTCATCTGTAAAATGAACAAGATGGATTAAAATGGCCTGTGGTTCTTTCTAGACCTAGTGCCTGAGACATTCATGCCCAGAGGCAGAGGGATAGCTGAGATGACCTGCAAGGGCTGCTACTGTTGTTATAACAGTCATTTCAACAGCTGTTATTGAGGACTAGCTGTAAACCACACACTTGACACGTTATTTCTAACCTAAGTAGATGCTGTCATTCTTATTGTACAGGGGAGGAAACTGAAGTATGTAGGAAGGTTAAATAATTTGCTCAGGGCCCCAAGGATAGTAAGTGATTGAACTGGAATTCACAAAAAGAATGTCTGACCCCAAGCCACAGGCTTAACCACTAGGCTGCCCGTCTAGAAGGCTCTGCACTGGACCATTGAGCCTGTCTTTTCAGTCATGTTCAGAGTTGAGGGTAAAGAGAGGAGCTAGAAAGTGCTTTCTGCAGGACTCAGGTGGACAGGCCACAGGGTTGCTCCAGGCATTGTGTCCCTGGGTTACACTCTGGACCCTCAAGAACCTCTGGCACTATCAGGTGAATTTTTAACTCTCTGGGTCCCAAGCCACTCAGGGGTCAGAGGTGAACAACTTTGATAGGAAGACCAGGGCGGGGAGACCTGAGTACTTTAACCAGAGAAGCAGGAATCCCAAGGCAGCCCAGAGCTGTCTTCATTAGGAAAGGCTTCCTGGAAGGAGGGGGGATGCAGGATGAATGTCGGTGGGAGACGGTCCTCTGAAGGGTGACGCCATGGGATGAATGTGCAGGTTTTATGTACCCACGTATGTGTGGGGGGCATGTGAGGTATGTTTGTGGGAGCTGTGTGTATGCACACACACAGGCATGCTCTTGTGTCTCTGCATGTACTTATGATGCAACTATATGCATCTGGGTGTGTGTATGTAATACACCTGTGAGCATGCAGGTTCTTGTATAATGTTGGTGGCTCCCCATCCTCTCTCATACCCAGGCTGCTCTGATTTTCGCCTTCCCATCCCGCCTTCTGACCTGACAACAGGAGTTAGGTGGGAAGACCACTGGATGTCTTCCTGGGATTCTGCTGAGCTTGGGGCAGCCCCACAGCCTGACCAATTGGTACCTGGGGCCTAGCAGGGTTTGTGGGCGATGTTGGACAGTAGGAAAGCAATAGATCCATTCATTTATTCAAAATTTTTTGAATACTTACATTGTGTCAGGCACTTGGCCCTGAGGACACAGTGGTGATGTGAGTCTTGCCCTCATGATGTTCACAGTCTCCAGAGAGAGCCTGATGTTCATACTAAAAAGGTGAACCTCTACACGAAGTATTACTTGCTATGATGGAGAGATCAGGGAGTTACGAACACCTATAACAGGGCGCCTGAATTTGACCGTGGTCAGGGAAGGCTTCCTTGAGGAAGTGGCAACTGAGTAGTCATTAACAGGGGAGCAAGGGGAGGGAAGCAGATTGGAGAAAGAGGGACTAGCATGTGCAAAGGCCCTGTGGCTAGAATCCAGTGAGGGAGATGTGCTGTGCAGGAAGGTAGATTCCTGCACTCGTGAGGCAGATGGGGCTCAACTTTCTCTTCCTCCTGAATTCTACCTACCCCAAACATAACCAGTGGACTGCTATTCAGATAGTACAGAAGACCTGTATCAAACCATGCACCTTCTCTTACCTATTTCATCCTGGCAGACACTTGGGAAAAAAGCTGACAGAGATTGTACCTAGGATGTACAAGGAGCCAGCCTGGCCTCCTGCAGTATAGGGCTCATGTCCCCAGATTTATTCTGTGTCCCTGAGGCATCCAGTCAGGGAAGTTACTGCTAGGGCAGGTCTTACTGCATTCCAAAGCCTTCTTTCTCTGCTCTAGGGAGGT